AAAAAAAAAAAAAAAAAAAAAAAAGGGATGAAACTCTGTTTCAAAAAAAATAAAATAAATAAATAATGTGATCTATCATATGTGTGTCAATGGCTGAAAATATTTCATGCAATGGATGCACTCTAGTTATCCAATAAACAATAGCGTGTTTCCAGGTTTTATCTATTTTAAATAGTGCTACTCTTCAAATTCTGGTAGCTAAATATTTGTGAACCTCTGATAATTCCTTCAGGATTTTTAGGCTTCCTCAGGATTTCTAGAAGCAGAAAATTCAAGCCAAAGGATGTGCACATCTTGGGCTCTCCATGCAGCAGGCCATACAATCCTCTGTTCCTCTGTGTGGATGAGGGCCTGTGTGCCCCGCCCTCGCCAGCTCTGCACTCTCCTCCTAATCGTGGTGTTACAGGACAGGTCACAGAGTGTCCCGGACAGAACACAAGCATGAGGCCTTGACCCCCTCTCCGACTGTGAACTCAGCAATGTCACCTCTCTCCGCCTTAGTTTCCTCTTCTGTGAATGGGAAAATGAACAAGCCCCTACCCTGGTAAGCCATGAATGCTGAACCAGGTAACATACAAAGCATTTGTAAATGTGGACTCAAATATTCTCTGCTTTGGGGGCTGAGGAAGCAAAACACACAAAGACATGCTAGTGGTGGTAAATGGAAGCATTCTGGCAAGGGATGAAAAGGCTGGAGAGGCCGGGCAGGGCACAGCAAGGAGGCGGGCGCTTATCTTAGGGACAATGCGGGAGTCACGGAAAGGTTTTAAGGAACAGGGCTGTGGGGAAAAGGGTGCTATTATCAGATTTGGAATTCACACTGATCACACCTGCAGGCAAGAGAAAATAACTGCAGGGGAAAAACAGCAAAGGAAGTCTCGCTGGGAGGTCACTGGACAGTGGCTGGGGGGTTATGCAGATGGTGACAGGCTGATAGATCCAGAGACAGGAGATAAGAAATATACATGCCATGCTTCAGCAGGTGATGAAGGACTGGAGGGACAGGAGGGGTCAGGAATGACAGACCAGAAAGGAAGGAAGATGGCATCCCTCAGAGTATGAGAACAGGACCAGGTCTGGGTCAGCACGAGTTTGATGTCCTTTAGACTTAAGAGATGCCAAGTGGGCAAGGGAATACACTGGGTTAGTCAAGGAGATATGACTTACAAATAAATAAGCCTAAAACAAGGTAGGAGGTGCTAAAGGGTTTGGGTATCCAGAGATGGAAGAGCTCACTTACAGTTGGAGTCAGGTCAATTAAGGAAGGCTGCATGGAGGAGGGGATAATGGAGGCCATGAAGGATGAGGCCAGATTTAGGTATTCAGTACAGGGTATTTGAGGGGCAGGGATTGGGCAAAGGCGGAGAGGGGCCTGGTCACCACTCCAGGTCTGCAGCCCTGCACCAGCCCCTGCAGTCCGCAGTTGAATCCAGGGACTCACAAGAAGCTGCTTTTTCTGCGTGTGTTCCTCCATCTTCTGCTTCATGCTCTCCTTCCGCTGCTGTCGGGGGAGCTTCTCCACCTCGTTCTTCACCTGCAGCAGAGACAGCAAACAGTGGCTGGGTCAGGGTCCTCTCCATGCTTCCTACAGTATAATCTTCAACCCAGAACTCCTGAGCCACAGAGACTCAAGAAGAGGCTCAGCTTTGCAGGGGCCAGCATCCTACGTGGCTTCCCACCAAGTCCCTCTGAGCAGGTGCCTCGCACTGGCCTACTCCTGCCTGCTGCTGGTTTCAGCTTCCAGCTGCTCCAGAGTGGGCAGGTGCTGTTTTCAGCTGCTTGGTATCCACCCCTTCTTCTGGTAATAGCACCTTAGTTTCCTGCAGGGCAGCGTTTCTCAACCTTTTTAAAAACTTACAGTCCCGGGCCGGGTGCGGTGGCTCAAGCCTGTAATCCCAGCACTTTGGGAGGCTGAGGCGGGTGGATCACGAGGTCAAGAGATCGAGACCATCCTGGTCAACAAGGTGAAACCCCGTCTCTACTAAAAATACAAAAATTAGCTGGGCATGATGGTGCATGCCTGTAGTCCCAGCTACTCGGGAGGCTGAGGCCGGAGAATTGCTTGAACCCAGGAGGCGGAGGTTGCGGTGAGCCGAGATCGCGCCATTGCACTCCAGCCTG